GAAACAGAACTAAATCCATATTAGGAAATGAGATTCATTGAATATTGCAAATGAACACTAGAGGGGACTAAAGGACCAGGCAGAAAGAAAAAACAAAACAAAAAGGGAACGTGCATGTATCAGCATTTAAACTACGGTTTTAAAATGGCCAATCCTGGTATAACTTTTGAGTTACTTAAAGAATTCTCTGAAAAATAGACTGAGATATTAATAACTAATATCTTAGAAAGCATACAGGTTCCAATGGTTAAACCTTTAGAAGATGCTAAGGGGGATTTTAAAAACCACCTTATACCTGACACAGATATAATAGAACTTGTACGTATGGAATAGAATAAAACTGAAAAGATTACTAAAATGGAAAGACAAAAGACAAATCAAGAAAAGGACTTGGACAAGGAGCAGCTGTGACAAGAAATCCTGGATGGTGCCTCTTTACTGGATTTACAAAAAGGATCTGAAGAATCTTTTGGAATGCCACAGATTGATGAAAGATCAAATCCTGCAACACCACTGGAATGAATTAGAGGCCAAGATTGTGAAACGCAAAAAGAAGGAGTATAAAGTTGGACTATTTGATCAGCGATAAAATATGTGTCTGGCATTTCTGGTAGCTTCTAGTGGACTTTTTGCTGAACCAAGACTGAAAAGATGAAGATTTCTGGATTGCATATAGTTATGAGTTAGGTTATGGGAAGAAGAATTTTTTGTCTGTAATTTTAAAAAAGGGTGAAATAGTGTGATGTTAACTTGTGCTCAGTGTGATGAAGGTTGGAAACCACTTCTTTATTATTGACTTTGTTTCTTTTTTCTTTTTTCTTTTATTCTCTCTCTTTTCTTTTCTCTTTCTTTCTGTTGCACTTTTTAAACTTCTTTCTTACTTTTGTTTAATTGTTTAGTTTGTATTTGTTTTTACTATGTTTATTAAAAAGTTCAATAAAATTATTACAAACAAACAAACAAACATGCTATTTGCATACCTGGAAGTCTACTTGCTGCTCCTGTCTCCCCTTTTTCGCCCTTTGGACCATGAAGTCCTGCTGGACCCAAGTTTCCAGCAACACCTGTTAAGCAAGTCAAAGGATATAATAGCAGACCAAATGTGAAGGAATAGTTGTATATTGTGGACAAAGGAAGATGTGCAAAGCACAATCCTTTTGACTTGGTAGGAAAAGATTACTTCAGATAATAAAATAGCTTTCCTGACCTTGTGCTCTCCAAATATTCTGAACTACAACTCCTAGAATTCACAACCACTGTGGCTAAAGACCATGCCAACGTTTGTCATGTAAACTGGGGCTTCTGGGAGTAGTAGTTCAGGAGATATATAGGCTACTAGGTTATAGCAGGCTGCAGTAGATGGTTTTGCTCAGTAGATTTGCATCTTTTGGGCACATCCTGTTGTAAACTGCTTTTCATTAAAAGGAAATGTGGAGAATGTCCACCATATTCTGCCTCATCTTTTGTTGATTCACACCACTATGAGTTGTTTCTTGCTGATATCAGTAAGAACAGATTTTGCCTGCAAATCTATAATGTAGAACAGTTATTAGAATGGATAAAGCTGCAGAGGTTCAAAATTCATTTTCACCGTTAGGGAGAAACCCAGTCCATTGACTAATGTGGGGGAAGGCAAAAACCCCTTGACAAATTGAAAATTGCTCATCAGGCAAAAAGAGCTGATCAGTGCAGGGGAGGGAAATCACTTGCCTGCAAATACACTTTTAAAATATCCGGTCTGATGCAAATAAGCAAGCAGCAGTTCACTTCTTTTTTTAGCAAAAGGTACATAATTATATCTAACAATTTCAGTGAATTTTTATATATTTTATGTGTTCTCAGGAGTCAAATTATTTCTAGTAATATTTCTCAGTAGCTCTCATTTTATTATTATTTTCTCAGGTTTACACCTGAGATGTAAACCTGAGGTGTAAACCTGAGAAAATAATAATAAAATGAGAGCTACTGAGTATTGCCTAGTAAGCATGCTTTGCTGTGCAGAGCAATCCCATGGATTTTCACTCAAAAATAAGCTCTGTTAAGTTCAGCAAAACTTTCACCCAGGAAGTGGCTCAGAGAATTATACTCCTAAACACATCTACCTGTATGTAGGAGTAAATCCTATTGAATATAAGGAGATTGATTTGTGGTAAATGTATATGTAGGGTTACAGTGTTGGAGAATGTACAGTATGTGTCAGGCTATAGGTGATAAGAAGGGCATTTCAATTGCATTTACACAACATAATTTACCTTTATCTCCTTTTGGTCCAGGAAGACCTTTGGGGCCCTGCGGACCTGAAAGAAAAAAAATAGTATTTCCTTGTCTATGGAAGCTTGCCTGAGTGTCTTTCCATAAGTGAAAAGGGGTTCATTGTGTATTATGGACATGACATACAAAATAATACATTATACAGAAAATAGAATAGGAGAAAACCCCTTTGAAACTTATGCATGAAAGAGAGATTGCAGGGATATTTTTAGGGATGAGAAAAACTACCAACTAGATTTTAGTTCTAGAATGTCAGATGTAGCAGTGATATCTTGAGTGGAAGATTAATGAAAAAAACTAAGTCATCATGGGGCTTGGTGGGGAAAAAACAATAAAGAATCAATTATTGAAAAGTCATAAGGCAGAAACCAAAGGACAGCAGATGACATTTGAATAAGTTGTCCCAATGGTAAGTATATTCTATACAAATATCTAAAAAGAAAAAAAGGTGCCCACCTAAGGGAAATTTCCCCAACCTAGGTGTGTTACATCTATGTTGACTTAATTTTCAACAATGGCTGAGGATGATCTGGAGAAATCTACAGCTCTGGAGGGCACCCAGGTTGGGGAAGGCTGTCCTAAGGCGTAGAGATGGGTAAAGTTGGGCACTATATAAGTGGTATTCCATCAATCCAACAGACCCAGTTTGATGTAGCAGTTATGGCACCAGGCTAGAAGTTAGGAGACCATGAGTTCTAGTCCTGCCTTAGGCACAAAGCCAGCTGGGTGACCTTGGGCCAGTCACTCTCTCTACCCTAGGAAGCAAGCAAGGGCAAACCACTTCCAAAAAACCTTGCCAAGATAACTACAGGGACTTGTCCAGGCAGTCACTAGGAGTCAACACTGACTTGAAGGCACTAAATAGTAATAAATCCTTCCTTCCTTCCTTCCTTCCTTCCTTCCTTCCTTCCTTCCTTCCTTCCTTC